TGTGTGTGTGTGTGTGTGTGTGTGTGTGTGTGTGTGTGTGTGTGTGTGTGAGAGCTCCAGGTTACCCCATCCTCCTTGGAGCCCCTCACTCCACATAGAACCGGTGGTCGAACTGCAGACTCTCCTCACAGCACGCAGGTAAGCATCCATGTGTTCTTTACAGTTTCATGTTATTCTCTTAAACAAAATCTGAAAAAAGATGAATATTTTTGTTTATTTCGAAGAACAAAATGAAACTTGTGGCGTGGCTCGCTGTTCTCCTCTGCCTGTTTGTCTGTCGCCTCGGAGGTGAGTTCTTGATGGGAATAATAAAATCAAAAATTGTGTTTTTATATATTTATTGTGTTTTATATGGGGCTAACTGTATAAATAAAGGTTGAATGAATTTATGTTTCCTATATCTAGTTAAACTTTATTTGTTATTTTACATGTTGGAGTTTTATTTAGACTTTGAGTTTATAGAAATTTGAAATTATGATCAGAATAAACAGGAGATTATTTTATGATGGATAAAAAGTGCAGTCTGTCTGCGTTTCGATCATAAATTCCTTCAGGCTGGGACATTTTGTGTATTTGCGTGTGTGTGTGAATGGTCAGCAGTAATATTTGAGACAGGAAGCTGCATCCCTGCAGTTTGACAGCCCTGAATCCCTTCTTTGTTCATGGAAAGCAGTGGAATGTTTGGGAACGTTAACTTTTTTTCTTCTTCTCCTCCACACAGAGGCCAGAGTTATCCCAGAAGGAGGTACAGTAAAATATGAAGTTTTTTTTTCTACTAGACACTAAAAAAAAACATTTTTAAATTTCATTACTGTAGAAGTTACAGTGGTCACAGAAATCTACACACGTTAAAAAAAATCATCACAAACACTCAGTAGAATAAGATTATTAAGGCTTTGTGAACATGTCTGCATGTTGGTTCAATGGAGAAATGGTGGTTAATTTTCATCTGCTTTATATCGCTGGATTTTTAAAAGCAGATGTCATTCTTCTCTGTCATTCCCTGTATCTCCACCAGTGCCATATGATGAACCTGCAGCTGTTCCCTACTGGCCTTACTCCACGTCTGACTTCTGGAACTACGTTGAATACTTTAGGTCCATTGGAGCGTACAACCAGATCAATGAGATGGCCCGCACCTTCTTCGCCCACCAGCACCTGGGAGACACCCTGGGATATGAGACAAACCAGGGCCATGAGAAGTGAGATGAGAGGAGGCAGCCAGGAAAACAAGTCAATGTAGACGGATAAAAACACAGAGCTGATTTATTTCCCATTTAAATAATATTGTTGGTAGCACAGCCTTATAGATAGACAGCAGCTGTCGATAAGTTGAGGAAATGCAGAATATTTATGTACTGCGAGAAAAATAAATAAAACTTTTTACCATAAATGTCTAAATCAACACATCCTTACATATTGCAAAACTGTTTTATCTTTTTTCTGTAAATCCACAATGAACAGGTTGACAGTCCTTTAAGAAGTAACAAAAATCATTTATTCATATTGTATAGTGTAGTTATTTTTTGATTAGTCTTAAAGAAAAATGCATTATGAGTACTTGTATGTCTTCAAATTTTTTTATTTGTTGTTAGTTTTACGTAAAGAAAAATCCATGCATCTTGTGTTTTAAGAAACCAAATAAACTTAACAGTGCTCTACTCTGTTACTCTGTTTCATTTCTGATATGCTAGGGCCAAAAGAAAAATTAACATACAATATGTTATATATACATATATATATATATATATATATATATATATATATATATATATATATATGCTGCAATATTCTGAAATAGTAAATACCTGATCCTCCCTTAGCGTTTGATATTTTCAAACAAGCTTAAAGATTATTGTTCGTCCATTGTTATTGAGTAATAAATAAATGTAACCCTTTAAATTGTATAGTAAAGTAATGATGTTCGCTCTTATTCAGCAGCATAATAATTATTTTGTCTCTTTGCTGTTCAGTCTGCTTTTGGTTTGGATAGCGGACCGAACGTGAAGAGACTGTGAGGAGAGCCGGACACAAATTAGCGTCGCACACAACTGTTTTGTTTACGAACGCGGGGTTAGTTTAGCTAACCGCCAACATTCGAAAGCTTCGTTAAAAAAGCCGAACTGTCTGTGTGGAGATGAAACCTGCAGTGGACGAGATGTTTCCTGAAGGAGCCGGACCCTACGTGGATCTGGACGAGGTTCGTTAAATTACACAAAGCCAGACAGAGGAGCTGTCGGCGCAAATAAAAATGCTACTTTAAAATGTGTGACGTTTAAAGAAAACCATAAAGGCAAATAAAATGTTTAGCAGCCAGTAAGAAGAATACAACAGTTGGGTCAGATTTATCAAAGATTAATTGAACAATTTTGTTTTCATTAAAATTGTATTTTTTTTCTCAATAAGCTATTTTAACCCACAGTAAAGTCTGACCTGCTAGTCATGATAAAATAAAGATGATTGAAAATCACTCAAAATACAACAGCATGAGAACAACAAGACATTCACTACACAGTCATTTAGTTCCTTCCAGGTCTTTTCTCCATCACATAAAAAGTTATCCATCCCAGGAAGTCAACAGATTGTGTCAAAGGTGACAAGTAGCTCTATAACAGCAGAACCTTTACAGTTTGCTGCTCTGGAGCATGCAGGTATGTGTTGACAAATCATCAGGGTGGAAATACATCAGCAATGACCTTGCAGAAGCAATTGTTGCTTCCCATCAATCTAGGAAGCGTAATGAGGCCATTTCAAAATCATAAAAGCAAAGAAAATTCCTAGAATGATTCAAAACCATCATATTCCATTGGTTAGGCTCTCCATGTCCTGGGTGACTCAATATACACCAGTATATTTTCAAACAATTAGTGTCCATCATTTTTCAGAAGGAAAGATTATTCATGAGTGACAAACAGTCAGTACAGCTGACATTCTCCTCAGTAGATGCACACATTTATAAAATTAAAGTTATGTATCTGTATTCTGATGCTCTGTTAATGTAACTAATCTTTGAATTCTAACATGCTAAATAAACTGTGTTGAAGCTTCCCTTATTTAGTAATAGTAATAATTTAACAGCATTTTCAACCTTTAGAGTTCAGCTGTGACTGTGTTGCAAAGCAGGTTTGTGTATTACATCTCTAAATGTATTTGCACGAGATGAATCTGAGAAATGCTGAAATCTTCTCGGTGTGCAAACATTACACTATCGCTTTGGCAGCTCTAATTTATCATGTTACATCACATAGCTCAGGTAAAGGTATGGATAATTTGCATTCATCAGCTTTCATACACATGATATTGATGTTTTGCTTCTTTAAACCCTTCTCTGTTTGTTACTTTCCACTTTTTCTGCTGATACGTTTTAACCTCGTATAATGTTGAGATCACTTGGTGGGCTCTGCAGAAAAGTGCTTTACCAAAATCTGTACATTTATTTATAAATTCACCTCATCCAGTTAATCTTCTGATTTAGTGAGGAGTTCTGACACAATGTGACTGAATAATTTTAAACATGATTTTAACATTTTGCAGAGATAAATTAGTAAAACAGTTGTCTTCTAAATTTCATTTAAAGTTTCTCTGGTCTTGCAAAACAAACAAAAATACATAAAGAACGATGACTCCAACTTAAAATATGTCCCTTGACTTCTAATATTTGATTAACTTGTTATTGTAAAATGCTGACGAGTTATTACTATTACTGATAAAAATGAAGCCCAGTTGTATTTATGATGATCATCTTAACCTAGAACGTTTGAATAATGATAAAATTTATATATATATGATTTATAACTTTATAAACTAAGAAGGATCTACTGTAACAGACTGCCTTCATTTTATTAAACATTAATACTTTCTTACAGTTTTTATTATCTAATAATTCTACATTGTATTGATGTGTGTAAAAGTACTTTGCTCATGTTCTGTGTTTTGTGATGCTGTGTGTAAACAGGCAGGAGGCAGCAGCGGCCTGCTGATGGACCTAGCAGCAAATGAAAAAGCAGTGCACTCAGATTTTTTTAACGGTATGTCCTTAAATTTTTCTCCTCTACTTAAATAATCACCCTCAGGGTGTGTTGCATCCTGAACTTTAACTCTTCTTATGTGGCCTCATATGTTGCAGATAGTTAAAAGTATTTTGTGGAGTACTTATTTTTCTTGTAGTTTAAAATGATTAAAACGTGTGACATCCTATGGAGAAGTCTGAACTGCAAAAGTAACAAGAATATTCTTTTTTTTTTTTTTTTTTTTTTTATGCGTGGTTAGTTCAGTTATGTTGAACAACGTTAACAGCCTTCTTAAAGAGTTTGATTTTGATTTAAATATCACTACTGAAATAAATAAAGCATTTAAAGCTGTTTTTAATGTGCAACTTTAAAAGTAAACCTGAAAAAAAAAAATCAACAGCATAATTTGACCGTTAAAGTATTTTATTTACTAAATTAACTTATATAAGTTAAAGCTCGGCCAAGGGGAGTAGTGGCGCAGAGGTTAGAGAAGGTGGGCCTGTGATTGGAGGATCGCTGGTTCAACTCCCGGTACCGACAACATCAAAATGTGGGTGAGATAGGTGAAGCACCCACAGCTGGTCTCCACCCTCATTTGCCCCACTCTGGGTCCTTGAGCAAGGCCCTTAACCCCCACCATCTGCTTCCCTGGGCACCCTAGATAGCATCTCTCTGCTCCACACAGAGGGCTGTGGTATCTCTGTGGTCTGTGGTTGCGTCAGGAAGGACATCCGGCGTAAAAATAATTGCCATGTCTTCGTGCGACTTAGTTCACTGTGGTGACCCTGGAAGAAGGGAGCAGCTGAAAGAAGAAAACAAGTTAAAGATCAGCCATGGTTATTTTAGTACCATGAGAGACTTTAAGGTGAAAGTTTAAACTCAAGGCAAACAAGAGTTTAGTGTAAACCTGTTATCTATTTTTCCCCCAAAACCATTTACAGTACTTGCTGCCGTACACGTCTCATCAGTCCAAATATGTCTAATAAAGTGGAAAATACATAAATAAGTCACTTCGCTGTATAAGTCACATCTATTATGCGTCACTGCTGATCACCTGGAAACGTGGGCCAGTGCTGTGCCAGAAATCGATTGACTGCCAAATGGCAGCTATGGGAGCATGCACTGGAGGTTTACAAGAATTTAAGAAGATTAACACTTAAAAACAATTATTTGTTTGCTTGACATTATATTAAAGGTGTGTCTCAGTTGAACTTTTACTTAATAAATGCACTTTAATGGTTAAATAAGCTGCGTTTTTACTGGGCGGAGTGGTGAAATGCAGCTGATTTGACATTTGCTCCAGGAGTTCGGGCGAGACGAAGGTGGCTTGCCATATTGGTTGAGGGTCCTTCTAGTGGTTGAAAATGGTAGTGCTCAATATTTTCCATGTCAGAATGAATGAAATTGTCAGATCTCAGCCAAATATTGTGTTAAAAATATGGAAAAAAAACTTATATTAGTCACTTTGGTGTATAAGTCGCAGGGCATGCAAATTTATGCAAAAAGGTGCGACTTATATGGTGAAATCTGTGGTAGTCTTTCCACTTTAATCCTCAATAAATATTATTTTTCCTCTCTAAACACCAAAGAACATACGAACATAACACAGACATAGAGGACGCCCCAAAACACCATACTAATCTCTTTTCTGTCTCGCAGCGCTGGCTCCGAGTTGAACAGTTTTGGCTCGATGGCACATGGCCTAGAAATAAAATAGCTGATTGTTTAAAAAGAAAGGGGTACAAGAGGGTGGTAAAGTGCGTTTATAGCTGCTTTCAGACCGAAACTCCACAGGACACCTCGCCAGTCAGCTGCTTTAAAACGCCTGCACACATCAGAGCTCCTTCAGATCACTTGAGATGTTAAAACGAACTTGACAAGCTAAAATGTTGCACTTTTAAGTATTTGACCCATGTATTTAGTCATGATATAAAATTATATGACTTATTAGCTGTAAAATAACCACGTGGTACCTTTTAACTTCAGCCTTATTAGTGTTAGCAGTCTACAACGTGAGGATGAGATGATCCGAAGAATAGATGAAATGCTAATCTGACACCTCTGATGAAGAGAAGTCAGAAGCACATGGTGATCGTGCAGTTTGCTGCAGAGTGACGTGTCTTTGGATTCATTACCAGCAGCAGAGCGTGGACTCTTCTGAGCTGCTTCAGAGTCGGTGTTAATTAGATCCTGCTGGTTGGATCTGCTGCCTGCAACGTCCACCTTTCTAACCAGCACCAACTGCTTGAACGTCTGATCCATTTGTTTCTGGTTTATGTTGTGAATAAACACTGCGTTTTTTGTGCTACATTCAAATGTAAAACTAGCAAGTACTCAATACAGCATGCTTCTTTTTAAAAGTCTAATAAAGAATGTGTTTTGGCTAACAAAAATCAAAAAAGTTATAAATGTAGCTTGTTTTCTGATCGCCTTTTAAAATAATTCACACAAATTTTGAATTAATAATAAGCGATTCTTAAAAATAACTTGGATCTCTTCGTTTTCTGTGATCACTGAAGTGTGACGTCATCAGAGACTAGTAAAAGATCACGACCAAAGAAGTGAATAGCTAGAAATGGTTTTCCATGAAAACCGACCCACAACTACAACTCTTTATTCTTCACTTTCCCAAAAGTTGAGAAGGTTCGACTCATTTTGTTACTTTAAACAACCCAAAGTTGTATGACATATTTTATCTATTATTTATTCCTAAATCTTAAGTGAAAAAGGTAGTAAATTATATATAAGAGTCAGCTCCTCCTCACGTATACTACATACTGTACTGCCCTTTATAGTTCCATAAGAAATATTATGATTATTACACATTTAGTCCTAACTCTACTGTCTCTGTTCTTGTAAATCTTGACTCCCTTGAGCCTTATCTTAAGCAGTCTGTTACAAATTTCAGGATGGTTTTAGACTCTGACTTTCTTCATTAAGGAGTTTAAAAAACTGCTAAAATCATCTCACAACATATACAAACTTATTGTTTTAATTAATACAATGTTTCTCAAAAAACAAACAAACTGATGAGCTTGTCAGCAGGTAAGGGGCGTTTACCTTAGGGACAAATTGAGGTTGTCAATTGGTCAGTTGCTGACGCCTTCTGAGCTGATTGACAGGTCGCACAGTCGAGGATCCGATTGAAGAAGGAAAAAACCCGAGAGCTGCAGCAGCTGCGCTGGGAGGAGGCAGGGCTGCACAAATGCAGTGGAGGCGCAGCAGTTTGTGCAGCGCAGGGCTCCAAGTAAAGCAGGAGAAAAACAGATATTTTGCTTGTGCCCTCACTTCCCTGGGCCCCTTAAAGATCATGGGCCCCTGGGCAGTTGCACATATTGTTAATCCGGTCTTGCCTCTCCCCCATCAACTCCTCTGAGACAGTCATGCCAATGTGGTTCAAAACACCAAAGTTTATGCTCAATAATCCAGGTATAAATCCAACTATGTTCAGTCAGGTCATCTGGACGCTTTTTTTTCCAACTATGGAGTATGCTGTTTGTTTAAATCAGTTTGTTTGGTGGCTCCTCAGATTGAAGAAGTCCTTTGGATGAAGGAGGAAACATCTCAGCAAAAAAAGAAACCTTCCAGATGACCTGACTGAACGTTGTTGGATTTTTACCTGGATTATTGAGCATGAACTTTGCGCTTCCTGTAATCACTCCATTTTGGGATTTGTACACAAAAATGCTAAAAACAAGTCATACAATTTTTTTAATCAGTAAAATTGGCCACTGTAATGCTTCACTACAAGAAAAACATAATGATTTTAACATTTTATTTCATTTGACCTTTAAGCTTGAGTCATGTGTGTCTTTTGAAAATAGAGCACATTTTATATAAATGCTTAAACATCTATAAATCTCATGCTAGTTTCTGTTTTGAGTAAGTAAGTGCATCTAAACAGTCGACCAAGTTTTTCTTCTATTATAGAGGATAGTGATTATAAAATGATCACAGATGCACCTCACTGCATCAGAATATGTTTAAAAACCACACTATTACTTCTCACTGGGGCTTTAGTTCAGGGTAAATCAAATCTAACTAATTCAAAACCAGTTTTAGTTGAAGGCCATTTCGGTGCTCCCCACAGCAGTAGCCTGTGCAGGCATCTTGTAATTATTAAGACATTTTTAAAGGTCAGCGCGTCGTTTCAAACAGCCACTAACCAGCAGCTTCTCTTCATACAGCTGAGGAAGAGCCTGACGTAAACTTCACACAGTCACATCACTCTGTGGAAAATGTCTCTGCAATCAGTGCTCCCATTTGAATATTAAAGTGTGAGTTCATCCAGACCTTTTTCTTTACTTCCTGCTGGATGAATAAAAAAAAAAAAAGGAATGGTACTGTTTACAGTTGTTACAGACTACACCAGAGTTCATGGTATAAAGTTCCAGGTATAAAATCTAATAATGTTCAGTCAGGTCATCTGGACGTTTTTTTTTTTTTTTTGAGCTGAGACATTTCGTCCGTCATCCAACGGACTTCTTCAATCTGAGGAGCCACCAAAACAAAACTGATTCTCCACCAACAAAATACTCCAAAGTGGAAAAAAACAGTTTGCTGGTGCTAAGATGGCCTCTGGGGTAGAGTTGCATTCGGGCCCAAAAAATCCTATTCGACCCGGCCCCAGGCCATCATTTCCGAACCCCACCCGACCCGATGAATTAACAGTAATTACTGGTCCGAACCCGAAAATAATTGACATTAGCTTTGACTTCTTATATAGTTATTAACGGTTGGGGGCGTGTGGCTGAATAAAAAGGGACAGAAGATTGGAGCTGAGGGGGTGTTTGTCCTTTACTAATTGGCTTTTATGTATGTGAATGTTCCTGTAAAGTGCCCTGAGACAACTTTGTTGTGATTTGGCGCTATATAAAAAAAACTGAATTGAATTGTCCTTTCATGGCCGTCAAAGTGCATTTAAACCGTTTCTGCCTGCATTCTGCATTAAGACCGCTCTGACATGTCTGCTTTGGGATCTCACCTATTTGGGTCATCGGCCGCGTGCGTCCACTGAGTGCAGCGGCTAAACGTCCATTTGGGTGATGGATTGCTTCCTGGCAGTATAGTCCCATCTGAAGCTTAACTGAACTTTTTTTTACCTCTTTCAAGCCCGGTCAGCTCGCGGTGAAATGGCCTTGTGCAGTTGGTGATTGTATGGCAAGCCATGTTTCCATATAATTGGATTCAATTCAATTCAAAAATACTTTATTAATCCCAAAGGGAAATTATTTGTTGTTGTAACTCGTTATCCTCATTTCATTAAGAGATGTTAGAGATAATGATGTCTGTAGACAGGAAGGATCTCTTGTAAAGGTCCATCCCACAGTGGATCCTAAGAAACTGGCAGCAGATGCCGTTCGATCCGTCCACCCAGACTCGGCTGGCCTCTCGGTTTCCCCAGGCTGTAGGACCGCCCAAATGCAGGCCAGAACTCCTCCCAGAGCGATGGCCACTCCTCCCAGCAGTCTGCCGAGCTCCTCGTCACTGCGGACATCCAACTGTACGTGCTAAGGGACGATCCTGTCCTTCCGCTGTCATGAGCCGTGTTTCCTGCTAGTTCCAGGATCTCAGTGGTCAGGCACTCAAGCATAGCTGGCAGGTAGATGAGAATGCATCCACAGAACATCCTTTTCAACTCTTTTGAGATTTGGGGCTGTAGTTGAGATATTATTTGAGCTTTTGAGATGTTAATCAGCTGCTGTTGGTTGTAGAAAACTGCCTTGTTGCCATGGTTACGCATCATAACAAATGTCCAAAACTAAAAAAAAGTTTCAGTAAAAATTCTTCCAGCTGCACTGCATCTGAAACCAGAGGAAACAATCATCCAAAAACTGTGATTTACATCCAGAAAAAGAGGAATTAAAGTTTCCAAAAGCAAAATCTCTGAATGAAAGTTTCAGAGCTGTTCCAACCTTGAGCGGCGCAATTCTAGAACAATTTTTAAAGTATTTTTGAATTGAATTGAATTGAATTGATTGCAGCTGATCCGCTGATGCAATCAAAAGCATGACCCGGCCCGCCCATACTGCACATTATCATGCCCAGCCCACCCCGAATTGGGGTCGGACTGGCCCGGGCTGCTTTGGGCCCTGGTTCGAAATAACAGCTCTACTCTGGGTCCCGCCCTCTCCCTCATTAACTCCTCTGAGACAATCATGTCAAAGTGGTTCAAAACACCAAAGTTCATGCTCCATGTATAAAAGCCAACAATGTTCAGTCAGGTCCATTGGACGATTTCTTTTTTTTTTTTTGTTAAAATGTTTTGTCCTTCATCCAAAGGACTTCATCAGTCTGAGCTACAACAAACTCAGTCCCATAAGTGGCTTACTCACATAGTCTGGTGGAGATTTACTGGTGAAGATTCTCATTTACTGACATAGTGGACCAACCAGTTTTATGGTGATTCAGAAACCATCTTATCACCATAAAACTGGTGTGTTTGAATTAGAGTTGCATTCGGGTCCAAAAAAATCCGACCCGGCCCCAGCCCGTAGCCATCATTTCCGAACCCCACCCGATCTGACGAATTAATAGTAATTGCAGGTCCGACACCCCCCCAACTGACTGCTTATATAGTTATCATCGGTTGGTGGACGTGGCTAAGGGGGCAGAAGACTGGAGCTGACGGGGGAGTTTTTTTCCTTTCATGGCTGTCAAAGTGCATTAAATCCCTGCTTCTGCCTGCATTCTGCATTATTCAAACATGGATCCTGCTCTGACATGTTGGATATTTTGGGATCTCACCTGTTTGGGTCGTCAGCCAAGCACGTCCACCTCGGCTGAATGAGCGTCCATTTGGGCAATGGATCGCTGACAGTAGTCCATCTGAAGCTTAACTGAACTTTTTACCTCTTTCAAGGCCGGTCAGCGCATGGTGAAATGGCCGTGTGCAGTTGGTGATTATATGGCAAGCCATGTTGCAATATAATTGGATCGTCAGCCGCACGCGTCCGCTGACTCAATCAAAAGCCGGACACCAACCCGGCCCGCACATTATTATGGACCGTCTCGGCCCTGATCTGGGTTGGGCGGGGCCAGGCTCTAGGTTCGGGTTAGAAATGACAGCTCTAGTTTGACTATCCTTTAAGTTCAGAAAACCAAACAATCATATTTCTATGTATTTATGTGAGTTCCAGTACTTTGTAGTCCGATACTGTGGAGTGAAAAAATTAGCGTGGAGGTAAGTCCGTTCTCACGGCATCTCAAAAATTAGTGTGAATTTATGCAACGTTCATTTTGAGTCATCCCGACTTGTGCGTGGATCCTGACGCACCAATAATACACGAGGCCCCTGGAGAAGATAACGATGCAAGGCTGTTATTTTGGTTTCTGCCAATTATTTCTTTAATGATAAATTCTGAGAAATCTGTGAGAGATCTGCTCCAAAAACACTGATCTGTTCAGCAGTTTTAATGAGCAAACCGAAGAGGCCGGGCGTTTCAGTTTGTTTGTTTTTAAGTGTTGTCTTTGTGCCAAGAGGTGAAATACTGCCTTGAGTTTTTAAGGTTATGCAACTATAATAAATGTACGTGGGTGGGACGGGAGCAGCTTTCATGAGATTGCAAACCATGTAAAGAAACTAAACCCTCCTGGATAGAAGCCAGCAGGTTCTGCTGGAAGTTCGAGCTCATATCTGTGTGTCATTATGGTCAGCATAATTAGCTGAGGGTGCAGGAGTGTTTGAAGAAAACAGCTGGACTAATTTGGACCTTGTTCTCTTTTTGTCTCTGTCTTCCTCCTGCATATTTCTGCTTTCCATTATGCAGACTTTGAGGATCTCTTTGACGACGATGACCTGCAGTGATCGCAGCTTCCGAGCATCCGTGGGATTCTGTGAACATGTGCATAAAAAAGAAGCGAAGAAGATGGGCCTCCTCTCCTATAATTACTGTCTTACTTGTACATCCTCCTCTCTTATATGTGATTCAGCACCATATTAAAATAAAGCTGTTATGTTTTCCCCAAAGAAACAAAAAAATCGCAGTGATCCAGGTGTTTGTGGATTCTGAGAGTCTCTTACATTCCAGCCCCGGAGAAAATGATGAGGATGGTTTTGTGGCTGTCATGTTTGAATTTGCTCCTGCCTGGATTGAAGGTTTGTGGGTTCAGAGAAACATCTGTTTGCAAAGATAATTACACACAAGATTTACTGCTAACACGGCCTGTAAATATTCAGTGGAGGGACAACAGGGCAGGAAAAATGTGAAGTACTTGAAGCCGAGCTGCAGAACAGCTAAACTTTGAGACAACATAATTTTTTTTGTAGATTTTATTTTATTTTTTTCAATAAAGTAACTTTAGACTGACTTACCCAAAATAATTCAGGGAATTATAAAAGTGTCAGAAAAGAAACTAAAATCTGCACAGTTGTCTCTTAAAACACATTTTTAAATAATTTTTGTCAGAACTCTTTCTGTGAAGTATTAAAAAGTTAGAACCTGTTTTCAGGAATATTTTCTATCATTAAGCTGCAGGAGCTTTAATAAATGTTTATAAAACTGCATGGTTAAATCAAGTCAAATATTCAAAATCAGAACTGTAGCATGAATGGTGAAATCTTGAAGTGCCTCTTTGTCCACTGTTTGATTAATTTATTAATTTATTTAGTAAATATGCCTAAGTGCTACATGAAATTTCAGAGTAAATAAAAAATGAATCGGGCAGCACGGTGGCGCAACTGGTAGAGCTGCTGCCTCTCAGCGAACAGGTCGCTGGTTCAAACCCCGGTCCAGGGGCCTTCTGGGTGGAGTTTGCATGTTCTCTCCGTGCATGCGTGGGTTTCCTCCGGGTACTCCGGTTGCCTCCCACAGACCAAAAACATGCATGTTAGGCTGATTGGTAACTCTAAATTGTCCCTAGGTGTGAGTGAGAGTGAATGGTTGTTTGTCTCGTTTGTCTCTATGTGTCCCTGTGATGGACTTGCGACCCGTCCAGGGTGTACCCCGCCCCTCGCACAGTGATTGCTGGACATGGGCACCAGCGACCCCCTTGACCCAAAATGGAATAAACGGGTAAAGACAATGGATGGATGGATGGATAAAAAATGAATCCACTTTTTTATTTTTTTTTTTACTACAAATGAGCAGTGAAGCGCAGCCTGGAGGGAACTGCTGCCGGTGTTCCAGACTTTAGTGTGGTTTGTCTGACGGTCGTACGTTTCAGTCCTCCCTGTCAGAATAAAATTTGTAACATGCAGCATTGAATGCCATGACTGAATGTATGACCAATTATACAAACTTCTGTGTAAACAGCACCATCCCCACCAGAACAGTGAGATGCTTCCCCAGTAACAAACCCTGGATCACCACTGCCCTGAAGGAACTGCTAAACCAGAAAAAAAGAGCCTTCAGGGAGGGAGACGGAATTACTGAGGAGTACACAGAAGAAACTAAAAGTCAAGATCAGAAACAGCAAGGAGGTGTACAAGAAGAAGCTAGAGAGCAAGCTCCAGCAGAACAATATCAGAGAGGTGTGGTCAGGGATGGAAAAGTTCACAGGCTTCAAGCAGAAGCAGGATCAGAAGGATGGAAGCCTGGACAGAGCCACTGAACTGAACACATTCTTCAATAGGTTCAGTTCAGGAACAAGCTCAGCATCCTCCTCTCTTGCCCACAGCCTAATATATATACAACCCTCTTTTGGCCCAAGACTGTCCTGTCACACCTCAGATATTTTATCTACCATCTCGGTCATGGACCCTTCTTCTTCTACATGTTGGTCTTCAACCAAATCAGAAGATGCTGATACCTCCTTTGCCTCCCTCCTCTGTGTCTCTAGAAGTCAGTTGAGGAAGCAGCTGGAGAGACTGAACCGGAATAAGGCTGCAGGTCCAGATGGTGTCAGTCCTGAAGGTCTGTGCAGAGCAGCTCTGTGGGGTTCTGCAGCACCTCTTCAACCTTAGTCTGACCCAGGAGAAGGTTCCAGTGTTGTGGAAAACCTCCTGCCTTGTTCCACTACCAAAGAAACCTCACCCATCAGTCCTCAATGACTACCTGTTGCCCTGACATCCCACATCATGAAGTTCCTAGAGAGACTTCTGCTGACCCACCTGACTAGACAAACAAGCACATATCAGGACCACTGCAGTTTGCTTATCGGCATGGACTTGGAGTTGAAGATGCCATCATACACCTGCTTCAGCAAACTCACTGTCATCTAAGGCAGACAGCACTGTGAGAGTCATGTTCTTTGATTTCTCCAGTGCATTTAACACAATCCAGCCTGATTTGCTTTGTCGTAAACTCCAGAAGACTCAGGTGGAGGCCTCAACAATCACCTGGATCAAAGACTACCTGACAAACAGACCACAGTTTGTGAGACTGAAGGGTTGTGTGTCTAACCAGGTGGTCAGTAGCTCAGGAGCACCACAGGGGACTGTACTCTCACCATTCCTTTTCACTCTATGCCTCAGATTTCCAGTACAAAACAGACTCCTGTCGTCTGCAGAAATATTCAGCTGACTCTGCAGTAGTCGGGTGTATCAGAGATGGACAAGAAGCTGAGTGGTGGACCGCTTTGTGGCATGGTGTGGAAACAATCATCTCATCTTCAATGTGAACACAACAAAGGACATGATTGTAGATTTCAGGAGAAACAGGACCAACCCTATTTCCATCATCGGAGAAGAAGTGGAGGTGGTGGACAAGTATAAATACTTTGGAGTTCACCTGGACAATAGACTGGACTGGAAATGCAACAGTGAAGTCATCTGCAAGAAGGGTCAGAGCAGTACTTCTTGAGGAAGCTGAAGTCCTTCAACGTTTGCAGCAAGATGCTGCATATCTTTTATAAGTCTGTTGTAGAGAGCGCTATCTCTTCTGCCATCATCTCTTGTCTATTGTTGTTGCTGTTGTCTATTGTTATCATTCTTTGTTGGAATCAGGTCTCTCTTGTAAACGAGTCCTCAAGGCTCAATGGGATTAGGTCATTAAGGATCAAAAACATATCTAGAAGACGAATGATGAACACTAGATACAATCATTTGTTTCTTTGCCAGTAAGGCTGATTTAGCCATTTCCTCACCCTTCAAACACCATCCATCCATTATCTTTACCCGCTTATTCCATTTTGGGTCACGGGAATCACCGGTGCCCATGTCCAGCAATCACTGTGCGAGGGGCGGGGTACACCCTGGACGGGTCGCAAGTCCATCACAGGGACACATAGAGACAAACGAGACAAACAACCATTCACTCTCTCACTCACACCTAGGGACAATTTAGAGTTACCAATCAGCCTAAAATGCATGTTTTTGGTCTGTGGGAGGAAACCAGAGCACCCGGAGAAAACCCATGCATGCATGAAGAGAACATGCAAACTCCACCCAGAAAGGCCCCTGGGCTGGGGTTTGAACCAAGAACCTGCTCGCTGAGAGGCACCTTCAAACACCAATTAATCTATTTTTTCTAAAAGAGAGAAACCATTTAAAGGAACATTTTGAGATACTTTTAGTAAACTAATGGTTGTATACTCATTATAAAATAGAAAAGAAAGTCCTCCAAATCCTCAAAGTAACAGCACATTCAGGGGACATAATTGGACTTTGCAGGACAACTTACTGTGCCACAGCTGCTATTTACAGTGGTGCTTGAAAGTTTTTGAAGCTGTTAGAATTTTCTGTATTTCTGCATAAAAATGATTTAAAGCATCATTTGATTTTCTCACAAGTCCTAAAAAGTAGATAAAGAGAACCCAGTTAAACAAATGAGACAAAAATATTATACTTGGTCATTTATTTATTGAGGAAAATTATTCAATATTTATTTATATATTTGTGAGTGACAAAAAAACGAGAACCTATAGGATAATGGTTAATTTGAAGGTGAAATTAGAGTCAGGTGTTTTCAATCAATGGGATGTTGATCTGGTGTGGGTGGGCAGGGCACCCTGTTTGATTTAAAGAATAGGGATTTATCACAGTCTGCTCTTCACAACATGTTTGAAGATGTGGATCATGTCAGGAACAAAGGAGATTTCTGAGGAGCTCAGAAAAAGAGTTGTTGATGCTCATCAGGCTGGAAAAGGTTACAGGGGGGTGGGGGGGTTAGGACGCTTGACAGAATCGGAGCTGCATTCACACACAGGCTTGTTAAGTGTTGCTCTCTAAAATAGTAATTTCAATTCAACCTTTATTTACACAGGTTGTTAGTCTCATTGAGCCTTGCCATTTACAAGACAGAACTGTTTTTAGTCAAGTTAATCAAATGTTTACAGATGTTTAACAACCTGTTAAAATAAACCAAAATGCTGGAAATGGCATCTCTTTTATTCCAAATTTTCTGGGGGAGGACCCACAAACTGTCTCTTCCTTTTATTATGAATTGGTGAAAATGTGCATGTTTATTTACAAAGTAGATGAAACTGTTCTGAAAGTAGTTCCAAACAAGGTTCACATCATCAGTAAGAAGAATATGTTGCCAGTCAAAATGAAACAGGTCTCCAAGTTCACTGTTCACTGAAATGCTTCATCCCTTTCTGAATTAGTCTAGGCTTGGTGCGAGGCAGTTTAGTGTCCCTGATCACACCGACAATGCAGTGGTCACTCATATCATCAGCATAAACACCCAACCCAGGAAATTTGTGAGGCATATTTGTTAAAAAGAGATCTAAAATAGACATTTTTCCTGGGCATTTTTTATTTGGGCTGGTGCGGTGTTACTGATTTGAGTATTTTGATTTGAGCATGGCAGGAATGCAAGGAGAAAGACACTGCTTTCCAAAAAGGAAATTGCTGCTCAACTACAGTTGGCTAAGGATCACGTGAACAAGCCAGAAGGCTATTGGAAGAATGTTTTGTGGATGGATGAGACCAAAATAGAACTTTTTGATTGTAATGAAAATTATGTTCGGATAATGGAAAACACTGCATTCCTACAGAAGAACCTTATTCCATCTGTGAAACATGGTGGTGATAGTATTATGGTCTGGGCCTGTTTTGCTGCATCGGGGCCAGGACAGCATGCCATCATTGATGGAACAATGAATTCTGAATTATATCAGAGATTTCTAAAAGAAAATGTCAGAACATCTGTCCATGAACTGAATCTCAAGACAAGGTGGGTCATGCAGTGAGACAGTGACACAAGTGGTTCTATCAAAGAACGGTTCAAGTAGAATGAAGTTCATGTTTTGGAATGGCCAAGTCAAAGTCCTGACCTTAATCTAATCCAAATGTTTTTACAGATATCTGGGTGTTCACCTAGATAATCTGTTCAAGTGGGAAATTCATGTTAATACAGTGACTTGCGAAAGTATTCGGCTCCCTTGAACTTTTCAACCTTTTGCCTTCAGGCTTCAAACATTGTGTCTGTTGTGGAGAAGTTTAAAGCCGGATTTGGATACAAAAAGACTTCCCAAGCTTTAAACATCCCAAGGAGCACTGTGCAAGCAATCATATTGAAATGGAAGGAGTATCAGACCACTGCAAATCTACCAAGACCCGGCCGTCCCTCTAAACTTTTATCTTGAACAAGGAGAAGACTGATCAGAGATGCAGCCAAGAGGCCCATGATCACTCTGGATGAAGTGCAGAGATCTACAGCTGAGGTGGGAGAGTCTGTCCATTGGACAACAATCAGTCATACACTGCACAAATCTGGCCTTTATGGAAGAGTGGCAAGAAGAAAGCCATTTCTCAAAGATATCCATAAAAAGTGTTGTTTAAAGTTTGCCACAAGCACCTGGGAGACACACCAAACATGTGGAAGAAGGTGCTCTGGTCAGATGAAACCAAAATCGAACTGTTTGTCCACAATGCAAAACGACATGTTTGGTGTAAAAGCAACACAGCTCATCACCCTGAACACACCATCCCCACTGTCAAACATGGTGGTGGCAGCATCATGGTTTGGGCCTGCTTTTCGTCAGCAGGGACAGGGAAGATAGTCAGAATTGATGGGAAGATGGATGGGGCTAAATACAGGACCATTCTGGAAGAAAACCTGTTTGAGTCTGCAAGAGACCTGAGACTGGGATGGAGATTTATCTTCCAACAAGACAATGATCCAAAACATAAAGCCACATCTACAATGGAATGATTCACAAATAAACGTATCCAGGTGTTGGAATGGCCAAGTCAAAGTCCAGACCTGAATCCAATCGAGAATCTGTGGAAAGAGCTGAAGACTGCTGTTCACAAACGCTCTCCATCCAACCTCACTGAGCTCGAGATGTTTTGCAAAGAAGAATGGACAAGAATTTCAGTCTCTCCAGGTACAAAACTGATAGAGACATACCCCAAGAGACTTGCAGCTGGAATTGCAGCAAAAGGCGGCGCTACAAAGTATTAACGCAAGGGGGCCGAATAATATTGCACGCCCCACTTTTCAGTTTTTTATTTGTTATAAAAGTTTGACACATCCAATAAATTTCATTCCACTTCATGATTGTGTCCCACTTGTTGTTGATTCTTCACAAAAAATTAAAATTTTATATCTTTATGTTTGAAGCCTGAAATGTGGCAAAAGGTTGAAAAGTTCAAGGGGGCTGAATACTTTCGCAAGGCACTGTATGTTGTGCTCTCGGATACAGCAGAGATTATATTTTTTACGAAGATTACGAATCTTTGGGGTTAATCAGAAGCTTATGGTTTTATTCTATCAGGCCGTATTGGAAAGTATCATCAGGTGTGGAATGTCTTCGTGGTATGGTAACTCTGTGCAACTTAAATCTAAACTTAATCGCATGGTACAAACTGCAATGAAGGTGATAGGAAGAACTGATCACCCCTCCCTGCAGTCTGTCTATGATGAGTCTGTCCTCAGACTTGCTCGGAGGGTGCTGTCTGACCCTGCTCACATCCTCAACTCACAATACGAACAGTTACCATCTGGAAAATGGTTTAGAATCCCAGCTTGTAGACTTAACAGATTTAAGAAATAATTTGTCCCTACATAAATCAGATTGTTAAACAAAGGAGGCATATAATTTTTTGTTATGCACAATGATCTGGTCTCATTGTTGTGTCGTTTACTTGCTGGAATGTATGTGGGAATGTGCAATATGTGTTTTTATTGAATTATGTGATTTTATTAATAGGTGTTTTATATTTTTGTATTTTATTATGGGGTTCACATGATTTTATTGGTTGTAGTGTATTTAATTGCAGAAGAAGCTTTGTTAGTGCGTGATATCCAAGACAAATTTCCCTTCGGGGACAATAAAGTATATATCTATCTATCTATCTACCATGTTGTGGAAGGACCTGAAGCAGCAGTTAATGTGAGAAAACCACCAACATCCAGAGTTGAAGCTGTTCTGTACGGAGGAATGGGCTAAAACTCCTCCGAGCCGGTGTGCAGGACTGATCAGCAGTTACCAGAAACATTTAACTGCAGTTATTGCAGCCGGGAGGGGGGTGTCTCACCAGATACTGAAGGCAAATGTTCACATGCTTTTGCCACTCACAAATATGTAATATTGGATCATTTTCCTCAGTAAATAAATGATCAAGTATAATATTTTTGTCTCATTTGCTTAACTGGGTTCTCTTTATCTACTTTTAGGACTTGTGTGAAAATCTGATGTTTTAGGTCAAATTTAAAATAGACAATTCTAAAGGGTTCACAAACGTTCAAGCACCATTTTAAACTTGAATTAATCTAAAAATAGCATCATGATCACATATTCTCTTTGAACCATCCCATAAAACATTTAAAATCTAATTTTGCCTAAATGTACACTTTTTTTTTTTTTTTATGAAATCACATTTGGTATGAGAAAAATCTATATTTCTCTGGTTTAATTATTTTAAAAGTAATTAAACCAAGTCTGAGGCTGGCCAAGATTTAAAACTCATAGCATCTTTGAGTGTTGTAAGTGAATTGTAACATTATCCTGTCAGATTTGGTGATGTTGCATCATAAATCTCAGCTGTGAGTTGTCCACTGGTGGACCTGTTTCTGATGGGGCAGGCAAGCCTGAACACAGTTAAACTGTGGAAGAAACTGTAGATTATCAAATTCCTCATGTGTGGACCAGCTGTGGCTGTGAGCGTTTAGTGGTTTGTCCCTGCATGAGGTCCCTGAAAAGTGCTTATGTGGCACCTTGATTATCCTTCATTATTTTCTCCAGGTCTCTCTCCTCTTTTACCGTCTTTTTTTTACATGTTTAGGAGTTATCGTCACACCTCAGTACATATTCAGGGTTTGCCTCAATAATAATGATGAGTAAATTTGTCAAATTTAATAAAACAACCCAACTAAAGCAACTACTTTCATCAAGTTTTCCATGTCTCAGTCTCGGGCCCTCCTACCTTAGCTCTTGTCTTTAATTAATGCACCTTCAAGACACGCCATTGGCCAAAACGTTGAGCCAATCATCTTGTTGAGGTTTAGTTCCTAGACCCCCATCTGTGTGTGGCAGAGAGAATGGGCTCTTTTTAAAACCTTGTGTGATCTTTACGTCTGTTCACTCTGTAAAAAGGGCTGCAGGACAAGGAGTGCCAATCACAAGAAAAGCCCACAGACACCTGGAGCTTCCAGAGTCCAGATCGGTGCCCACAGACGGAGCCGTCAGCGTAAAATAAACACAAGGTAAGAGGAGCAGGTCAAGTCTGTGTGTACTGAAGTAGTTACAGGTGATTTCCAGGGTTTCAAAATCTGCTTTGCAAAAGTTTGCTTCAGTGAAAAACACCTGGTTTTCTGTTCATGATGATGAAGTCTGTGGCTTCAACACGGCCAGGAGCCATGTAGAAATATGATTATTGAAGTTCGCCTCACCTGTGGGGCCAGGTGGACACCAGCACACATACGAGGGAACACATCCAAAGGAAATATTTCCTTTTACCTCCTGTTGTGAGACAATTGTTATTATTTTTACTAAAAGTGCATCGGTTTTGTAGATTAGATGATAAAATGTTGCCAATGTGACAAATTTAAGGCCCAACGGTGGCAGAGTGAGACATTATTTCAGAGTAAAAGCCTTCGTTTTTATAACAATGTGTTTGATTTTAGTAGGAGTGGAAGACGTCCAGTCATGGCTGAACGGAGGAGTCTCTGTGGTGTTTGGATCGGCACACTGCTGCTCGTGATGCTGCTGCCTGGTGAGCACAGTTACAAACCAGATCATCATACGCTGCTATAATATAGAGATAAATGCAGAAACATACAGATAGAAAAAAAACATTTTAAAGTTTATGGGCTTATGATCAGGTATAATTCATATGTCATCCATATTGTTTTTATATTATGTAAGCTGCATGTTACAACAAATATATATTTAATTCTTAAAATGTCAACAAGTAGCAACATTAGCCTCAGGAGAGTCCAGAACTTTGCTTTTAGGCGTTTTATTTTGTTAGATTATCCACTAAAAATGCAAATATTTTTTTTTTCAACACAAAGGCATCAGTAAAGAATATCTGTGAAGTTGTAACTATTAAGTATTGACATTTCTTATTGAAACCACCTTTAAGACATGTCAATCTTTCACCCAACACTATGCACTGAACATGAAGGCAGTGAAATCTGCTTGAATCAGCAGATTTCAGCAGCAGTTGGATTTTTCAGAGCAGCTCTTCAAAGCACAACTCCATGAATGGACTGCGTCCACATCGAAGATAAGCACATTTAGCAAAGTTGCACCTATTTGGTGACAAAAGAGCTGATTTTCCAGGTGAACACACAACTCTTATCTACTGACTGAAAGCAGCTTCTGAATCAATAGCTGGATTGTGGGGGCAAACAGTCATTCGAGCTTTTAGTGTTGCATGAAAAACGCTGATATGACTAAATGTTAGCTACTTTTCTATTAAAATGGTTTAGAGGTTTTACATCAACGCAGCTGTTAGTGGATAAAAGAGCTGTTTTGAATGAACTGAAAGGTGTTGATGTTGAATAAAAAAGTGATAAAGCCATGAACATTTCCTGATTTATTTTCTGGGAAATTTTGCACAGATTTTAAACTCCAGAAACCAACACAGATATTCTATATTCATGAGCAGCTTCTTCATAAATAATTCTTGTTATTGCTTCAGGTGCTAGCCCTGGAGGTTTTGTTTGTTGTGGGTTGGCTGGATCGGACCCAGTCCTTGACCTCCACAGACTCACGAGTCATCGTCGCAGCTCGTCCATCACTCATGGAGCCTCTGGCGTTCATTTATCATCAGCAGTGTTTCAACATGACGACTGGTCTCCCCGGTGCCACCTGTTTCCACTTTGTTCTTGACATGAGTGACGTTTTTATAAAGAAGAGGGAGGTGCAGCTTGTGTGCTTTCTTTTAAAATGATTTTTGAAGTTTCAGAGAAGGAGCAAAAAGGAGGGGGCTTTTTTTTAAAATTGTTCCTGCTCCTGTTTAAGAAAAAAAAAGACCAGTCAGCTTCACCTCCTGTTTCCAGATGTTCCAGCTGCTTTTTTATAAGCTTGTAAAAAAACAGTAGAGCGGATACACAGAAGCAGCATCATTTAACCCACCCTCCTCTTCCTCCTCCTCCTCCCTGGTTCACCTTCATTTCTCCTTCCCTTTAATTCATCTTTCATTCCTTCACTCATCACCACTTCTCTAACCTCCACCTCATGTTTACTCCAGTTCAAACTCTTCCTTTTCATATCAGGAGATTGATGTGTCTCCACATCCGTAACCTCGAGACTCTGGATCTTTGTAAACGCGTCATCTCTTCCTCCTCCTCCTCTTCCTCTGTAAGGGATTAGCACCTTTTCCCTGCGGAGATGAAAGAAACTGGGAGCAACGCTGAATCTGCTGTTTCCTCAGCCTGCATGCAGGGGTCAAACGGTGCACAAACCAATGTTACACAAAGAGATGCACACACACATGCACAGAAGTGCACACACAGCTTTCTGAGAACACACTGGGAGGTTTGATGTTATAGGCATCCCTATAAAATCTGCAAAACGCTGCCAGTGCTTGAGGCACAGCCAATTACTCCTGCCCTGTTTATGACGGATGTGTTTAAGGTTTAATGTCAGATTATCGTTACATTAACAGCAAATTAAAACTTCTGAACAGAAATGAGAACGTAAAGTAACTTCTTGCTTTGACACCTCTGTTTCTGTGTTCACAGCATTCTTGTCTGCTGGACCAATTGCACAAAAGTCCAAAGGAGATGGTAAAAAAAAAAAAAAAAATCAATTTTTAAACATGTTTATACTTTTAGACCTGATTTAATATTGTGACCTTTAAATAAAAGCAGCTCCCCATCTGTGAGTGGGACCTGCTTTAAAAGTCACTGGGATATCTTAGTCTTTAGATCAGCGGTGACTTCTTGTCTTCGACCTGTTCTCAGTGGGGGAAAGTATCAAGGAGAAGGCAGCTGCGGCAGAGTCGCACAGGAGGCTGATCAGGAACCGCAGGAACATCAGCTGGTACAAACAGCACTCTGATTTCTGGGCCTGGTACAAGTACTTCACTGACAACAGCAATCAGGAGGCAGTGAGTAAACACAAACAGATAAACAACACAATTTGCTTCTATCTCAACAATTTAAAGAACGAATAAATCACCTATGATGTTTAAATGTTGATGGACTACAAATCACCTATACATTAAAATCAACTGATTTTTTTGTAGGAAATCTTTACGATATTTTGCTGTTTAGGTGATTTAGAATTCCTAACGTTATCCCCATTACTGGATATTAAGTTGGATTTTATTTGAAGTTGGAGGAAGGAGCAATAGCAGCTTTTTTTTCTTTCCCTGAAGTGTATTGACAGAGTCTGATGAAAATGTAAGGTGGTGAAAAATCGATATAATGCTGTTTGTTTGGACAGCTATCAAGCTTGATTCAAACTTGTTTCACAAAAACATAGCTGACAACAGTCTGCAGCCTGGTCTTTATGTAAATAACCACTGCCATGAAAAAGTGTTTCATACATCTATCCATCCATTTTCTTTACCCGTTTATTCCATTTTGGGTCACGGGGGTCGCTGGTGCCCATGTCCAGCAATCACTGTGCGAGGGGCGGGGTACACCCTGGACAGGTCGCAAGTCCATCACAGGGCCACATAGAGACAAACGAGACAAACAACCATTCACTCTCTCACTCTCACCTAGGGACAATTTAGAGTTACCAATCAGCCTAACATGCATGTTTTTGGTCTGTGGGAGGAAACCGGAGTACCCGGAGAAAACCTACGCATGCACGGAGAGAACATGCAAACTCCACCCAGAAAGGCCCCTGGACCGGGGTTTGAACCAGGGACCTGTTCGCTGAGAGGCAGCAGCTCTACCAGTTGCGCCACCGTGCTGCCGTGTTTCATACAGTACATTTGAAATCTTTGAAAATTGTGAATGTTTTTATGACGACCATATAGCAGTCTCTTGATATTTTGCAGTTTGACTTTAGTGGTCTCACTCTTTTGCAGGTTTTCAACATAAAACATTGTTTCCCGGTGGCCTGGCCAGGTTAAGGCTCGGTTCGGTTCGTGCTGGATTATTTTAAATAAACAATCCTTGCAACTCACTCTGGTATATCCGCCTCACTGAAACTCCCACAGCAGCGATGGGGAAAGACAGACCTTACCCCCGCTCCCTCCTTTCTCTTTCTGAGGCTGTCAGCCTCAGAAAGAGAAAGGAGGGAACTCAGGTACCAAAAGGAACTAAAATGTAAAAACTTTGTCTGAGCCACTTTCAGCTGACATATTAACTCCAGTTAGATACCTGATATCTTTTCTGCAGGTTCGTGAACAAGAGTTTGATTTGTTCTGTTACTCTTTCCACATCAGAATCAATAATGATAGAATGCTCCAACCGTCTTTCTGGCTTCAACGTTAGCCAGCTGGCAAGAGAAGTCTATTCAAAATGATGTATTCATCAGTTGTTTTAAAGAAAAAAATGAAATGATATACAATATTTTACATTTAAATTATCATCTTGGGGGACCAGATTTGGCCTGTGGCTCTTGAGTTTGTCATATGTGGTATAGAACATTGTTAAGAACATTGCAAGAGTGTGGGAAGGGTTTATTAAACCTCAAAAATTATATAAATACTAAAATAAATATAATGTCCCTACCTTGCAGATTTTCACCTATTGCGGGGGGGTGTCTGGAACATAACCCCTGTGATAAATTGGGAACTACTGTACTCAGTTTTGGAACTGGCCCCACTCAGACTAGTCGTCAGCTCGATTTCTTACTTAGAACTCTTTGCCTTTCAAAAGTTTTTAAAATGGGAAATTATAATTAGTTGGTTTTATCCCTTTTCAAGCTCCTGTGGTAATGCTTTACTCTGAGTCCCTTTTTTAAAAGTCACAACGTTTTAGTCAGATAGACCTAAAGAGTAAATGGGTTTACTGTAGCTATAACTTTTTGTTGAAGTGATTGTTAGAGGAGTTTATTTAGAATATTATGGTGGGAGTGAATTCAAGCTCACTCAGATAAAAATAACTTTTGGAAGGGTATGAACAGACCACTATGCACTTGATGCTACCAGAATCAGCTCACCAACAGACACCCTCCGTCTCCTCAGGTGCAGGAAATGGATCGTATCTACCTGGCTTATCTCCAGAACAAGAACCGTGCTGAGGCTCGCCGCTCCTACAAGGCCTACCTGCGCCACCTGGGGGAGATCTACAAGTCCTGCGCTGACTCTGATAACCCCAACTGTGTGGAGTCATATACATCCAGGTCCAAACCTAAAGCAGAGCTCCCCAAACCAGCACCAGTAAAAACCTGTGACCCCACGAAGGACCCACACTGCCTGTATATGGCTTTAGCCCAGGGTAAAAGCCCCTACATGCCCCTGGTGCTTCAAGCTTCTCCTGCAGCACCGGTCAAGGCCCCCGCTCCTTTGTATGTTCGTGCTGCCGCTGCTTCGGTTAAAGACCCACAGTCTGGTTATCACTACTACTCTCCATCTGGGGTGTCTTTCCTTACCAAGGTAAGCTAGAGTGTTTAAAAGGATGTGTTGAATGTAATATATTTTGCACTGCAAATTAAAAAAAACATTAATCAAACTAGTTCATCAGTTTGTTTTTCTATATCTTTAGACCAAACTTTCCAAATGTTATCAGAGAAAGTTGAAATAACTCCCATTTGTTAAAAAAAAAATCTACATTGTCCCTGAATGAGAAAGTTATGGAAGCTCCTTCTTCAGTAATAATACCCAAGCTAATATCTGTTTCTTGTTTTGTTTTGTTTTTTCCAGGAGCAGAAGGCTGAGCTGCTTCGTATCTGCTCTGCTGATGATGTGGAGTGTTTGCAGTACCATCTCAAAGCTGCCTATGGCTATCAACCCTCTGCTGGCTCCGCCCCTTCATATGCCCACCTGGGCTGTGATCCCAAGAAAGACCCTGCCTGCAAACCCAAACAAGTGCAAAAAGCTCCTTCTGGTCTCCACCTACAGTACCCCAACTGTGATCCATACCGAGATCCTTACTGCACCTACGCTGCTTCCTTTATGGTATTGATTAGAGTAATTAATCTAATCACATTTTATCTGTTGCTATTTTTTTCTCCTGTTTTGCTATTCTCATTAATGCTTACTGTGATTTTTCCCTTCAGACTCCCCGTGCTCCCAGCCTCCCTGTCCCTGCTGGTCCAGGCTCCTGCAACCCTCTCTATGAAGACGACTGCAACCCTCTGACTGCCACCAGATTTGCCTCGCCACCAGACGAGTACCGAAATGATGAAAGAGATGAAGCTGCATCTATCCGTGCAGCTCATCCTGCCGTGGAACAGAGGGACCCTTATGCCATGTTTAGGGATGCTTATTCTAATGCTAACAGAGTCCCTGATCCCTATGCAATGTACCGTCAGCCTCCAACCCCAGGGTCTCCTCCGTCTGCTGATCCATACAACATTCTGCGCCAGTTTATGTCCCAAGCTCAGGATAACGACCCATATGCACCACGCATGCCTGCTCCTGAGTCCAATGCTAATGATCCTTTCTCTGCCATTCGTGATGCCATGAATCGTCATCACCCTTCCACATCCAGGCAGCAGTATCCCTTTTCCAATCCAAGCTATGAAGGATCACCCCAGGAGGAGAGACACCCTCTGGGTCCTCCAGGTAAAACTAAGGAGGGTTATGACTGCTTCATTGGCTATGACCGTGAATGCTACCCCGTGAAACCCAGCCAACCTCGATCTGGTGCTCATCGCCGCATTCCCTACCCTGCCGAGGCCTATGAGCCCCACCTAAATGCTGATGGTACCCGCAACGGTGTCCTGGAGCCGTCTAACCCTCATTGCGACCCCGAGTATGACCGTGACTGCCGCCTGCGTCGCCACGAGTCAGAGCAAGCTCAAGTAGAGACCCACCCCGAGCATCATGCCGAGGAAGACCACACACAGGGTGCTGGAGAAGGTGAACAGCAGGAACAGGAGCCCTACCAGAGTGGCCAGGAGGAGCCTCATATGTCTTACCAGCCTCACTCGCCAGGGATGCCCAGCCTCCAGGACATCCTCAGACTTTATGGAGATCGCTACCCTGAGCAGGATGATCACAGAGCTTACGCAGATGACTACCGCAAAAAGTAATCATGCGCATGCATGTCATTGGACACAATACACCATCCCAATCATTTTCTGTAGCCCAGTTTTTGAATGCCTCATGCAAAAAGCATCCAGATGTGACTGGTCAGGAAATGGGACACATGAAATCTATGAACCTAAAGAGCAAGAACATGAACATACAGCAGAGAATGCTTGCCTTTTATGACTTTAGATGCTTCAGATTTGCTTAGTACATTTTATTTTAAACCATCTTCCTTGCCCTCTAATTTTATGAGTTCTACGTAAATTTCCAGCTTTGCTTCTGTATCTTTTTGTCTTACGTTTCTTTTTTTTAAATTTTTTTTGCCTTTTATTTTTGGTTGTTGATGCATTATGAAAAGAGATATTTCCATTTTGAATGTTCTAATAAAAATAAACCCAGAATCTCTTTATTTGGACATTTTTATTTTGCAGAACCCCAAAACTTTTGTTGCAGCCACTACACCATACTGGTCATTCAAATATAATTTAACAGACCTAAAGCTGAAAATGATTTTATTATTCAGGGCAGCTGTGGATGAGTGGTTAGAGCAGACATCCTTCATTGGGAGAGTTGCTGGTTCGATTCCACCATTTTGAAATGTCCCTGGGCAAGACACTGAACCCCTCAATGCCTCTGATGTGTGTCCCATCATTGTATGAATGTGATCTAAAGTACTGATTAGTCTCTAGATTCAGATTAGCTTTGTAGAGATATAGTAGAGTACTATATGAATGGACAAATGAGGGTACAGATTGTAAAGTGCTTTGAGTATCTTGACTAGATAGAAAGGCGCTATATAAAGTAAAGCCCATTTACCATTTATTCATTCACATATGAAATAATACTACTGATTTACTGAGCCTAAAATAATTCCTTGTTTGCAAAAAACAATCCTGCCACGAAGGAAGTTAAAGATCAGGTGCAGAGGATGTTGTGATATTTAGCAGCATCTACTGGACAGTGAAAGCTCAGTTTCTTCTTCTCACCATCAAACATGTAAGAAAAACTACACTGCAAAAAGTTATTAAAAGCTGTCTATCCAAAGTTGTGTTTGATCTTTTCCTTTTGAAGTACTGTAGAAAATGCAAACAGGTAATGATTATAATGGTATTACTTGCTCTAAAGTATTGGAAACACAAATGTAATATTTACTTAGTTCTAGCAAAAAAACAAAAAAAACATTTTGATTGTAAACTTCATCCAAGTTACCTCAAGAATCACACAAGATGTTAAACCTTTGTCTTAATTTAATCTATAGAAGCTTCTTAACTTTTTTAGGTGATGATAAACTTGGCAATTCTGTCTACTAAAAAAGTATAAACTAAAAATACAGATGTACATAAAGGACAAAGGTTTAGACTACTAGGACTAAATTATTCTAAAAAAATACCCACCAGTATATTCATAAGCTATATGAATATAACATGTTCAAGACAGGTTACATACTGTACATAAATGCATATGCATGAAAACAATGTTACAGAATGAGCCTTGAATAGTTATCTGCTGACTTTTATACAGTTCAGTTCAGTGGAGTTCAGAGGGCGTTCCTTCGTCCTGTAGTCATCCGCAGTCCCAGACATGATCCATGGCCGTCAGAGGCTCCACGAGTCGGTGAGTGGCCTCCAGGTCAAGATAAGAAAATGTTTTGGGCTCAGCAAGTTCTCGAGGCAGGAGGGAAAGTTGTTTCTCAGCCACAATATAAAAACACAATAAAACGTTCCCAAAGAAATGTAGAGATCCCCAACAAACGCAGAAATGTGGGCTAGCAGGCGGTGATTACAATAACACGATTAGCTCTTTAAAATACAAATATAGAACATAGTAGCTGGTGACTATCCTTAAACAATAGTAGCTCATGTTTTAAATGCTAGCATTAATATTCCCAGCACTTTAGTGTAAGTTTAAAGGTGACAAAGTAAAAAAAAAAGTCTGATTGAAGAATATTGGTTAAAATGGACCCATTGCTGTTGTGGCATTTCAGTGTCATGTCTTTATAAAACATCAGAATTTTGGAAAATAAGAGAATAACAAAAGGTTTGAAAGAGAGTTTTGAAAAATCATAATTTTGAAAAGATTTTGAAAAATTTTAGTTTTTGTTTAGATAAGGCTGTTTTTACATGTACAGTATATCTGTATTAGCCCCCATTATATTTTCTCTTTGCAGCACCTATTAGAGTATGAATGGATCATAACAGATGTGTAAAACCTTTATTGTGAAGACAATTATGATGCTGCTACAATCTTAGTACTGTACTTTTTGCCATATAAGTCACACCTTTTTACATAAATTTGCATGCCTTGCGACTTATACAGCGAAGCAACTAATATACATATTCCCCCATATTTATAATCCAATTTTTGGCTGAGATCTTACGACTTTATTCATTCTGACATGGAAAATATTGAACACTACCTAAAAAAGTTAAATCTCGTCCTCTGGACATTCAAAAAAACAAAAACAAAAAAAAAGATTGTAGAAACGTTTCGTCTTTCTTCCAAAATAAGTTTTTCCCGTGCATGCTCCTGTGGCCGCCATTTGGCAGCCAATCGATTTTTGGCACACGAACGGCCCATGTTTCCTTTGGTCAGCAGTGATGCATAATAAACGTGACGCGTCAGCGTTGACGTGTAATCTATGTAACTTGTACGGTGAAGTGACATATTTATGTTTTTTCCACTTTATTAGACATATTTGGACTGATGCGACTTATATGGCGGTGTGACGTGTACGGCGGTAAGTACTGTACTTGCCAGTGAAGTTTCTCTTGCTTTTTTCTGTTTTCCCCAACAACTCTACACCTGCTGCCTTGGCATCTGTGAGGATTTAGCTACACCAGAAGATCAAGCACAGTGCCACCACTTTAAGGAAAGTAAAACGAGTTGCCTTTATCTTCTAGTTTGGAGACAAAGTGTTTAAAAAAGCCAAGTAACCATGACTGAGGGTCAACATGGGGGTATTTGTGTATCTGCTAAATCTGAATGTATGAATCATAAAACAAAATCTGTCACAGTGATCATCATTTCAAACAAATGCAGCTGCAAGAAGCCACTAAAACAGAATGTTTGTTGTTTGCTCAGACTAAAATTGGTCACTTATATTTCAGCGTAATGTGGCCAAAGTGCTTTTCGAACTGTGTTTTTATCTTTGGCCTGCAGTACAACACCGAATACAAAGGAGTTACCATAAATCTGCTCAGACAAATTTCCACTGAAAATGAGTTGGTTATTGATTTGTCTTCTCTCTGCTCCCAGAACCTGCATTGTTTTTCCTTTTCTGTTTTATCTGATACTTTCTTTGAAGAGTGTAGACTTTTACTAGATAAAAATGTATGGTATCTACTAGGTCTGGTTTAAAGTAAAAAATCTAAGCATGTGAAGTCTCCACTCCAACTCAAACCTCACTTAAACATGAGCACTGTGGCACGCAGCCCCTTTCCAACCAGAACCCCATAAATAATCTGATGGCAGGTCAAATTAAAGGCAACTGGAATTCTCTTTGACTCTTGGAGATGTTTACATCTCACACAAGGTTTCTCAAACCTGAAAAGAGTAAAAACATCTCCAAGAATCATAAAAAGGTCTAGCTGTCTTTGATTCAACTTGTTAGTTTTACTGTATACACCAGGGTACCTTATGAATCATCAATAGTAAATACGTTTAAACTTTGAAAGAGTTTATCACTTTTAAGGCTACTTTTTCACCAGACTGCAAGATTCAAACTGGTGATTGTAAACGAGTTTGGTTGATGATTCATGTGTTATAAATTTCTAATCAGAAATATTGGAGCCGTCTCTTTGATCAAGAACACAAAAGAATAAGCCAGGAATAAATGCAATATGAGGGTTAAAAAAAACATAAAAAAAGTGAAAAGAAAATCACTTATCTTCTATCTACAATAGAAGTTTTGTTGTGCCTTTGCGTATTTTCTTTGACTTTCAGCAGATTGAGCTTCAACAAAAATTCACACCTTTGCAGGTGTTCGTTAACTGGGGGGACTACAGGACTGGCAGCTGGATTTGATTTATCAGGACGATGCATCACCAAAACTAAAAAGGTGGTATTTCTGTCATCTTCTGCTCACATCTAAGAACTGGCCCCAGGTGGGAAGAAGCTCTGAGGGGAGTCCCACCTCCGCTCATATTTTCAAATTATTGACCTTAAAAAAGAACAAAAGCAGTGGAGAAAAGGGGTGAGGAAGAGGTGAGTTAAAAGTGATGTGATAATAAAAAGACGGAGCTGAGAAAACAGAAGCACACAGCAGGTGTTTGGATAAAAAAGGGCGAACTCGCAGCAGAAATATGTCAGCACATGTCTGTCACTATTTATGGACCATCATAAGATGAAGGAGAAAAAGGACTGAACTGTCATGTCTCCCCTTCCAGAGAGGTGGACTAACAGAAGCTGTGGGATCTCTGCGCACTCGTGTTGAGTTGAGAAAGGTCACACATGACTTAATGTCCGTTAAAACCACAGCATACAACGAGTTCCTCATTAGTCTGTCATGAAGATTAATAACATCTGATTTGTGTTGGTTATTAGTGCTGTACTATGTTTGTGATGATTCAGTGGCGATAACAATGTTGAAAATGTGTCCAAAGTCAATGTATTTATCATTGAAAATATGTATATAAGTAGACAATCACAGCAACGTTTAGAGGTATTTTAATATCAATAAACAAACAAACAAAAATGATGCAAAAACCTGCTACAACACATTAAAATGTGCCGTAGCTGATACTGATTGTTCAATTCAGTTTATTTCTATAGCTCCAAGTCGCAACAGAAGTTGTCTCAGAGCACTGAACAGAAACATTCACATACATTAAAAAGTCATTTAGTAAAGTTGTCTATCTAAGGAAGCCAGCAGATTGTGATGGATCTTCACTTCATCTCAGTCTCTCATCCTGAGCAAGCACAATGGCAACAGAGGAAAGGTAAAACTCATTTTTAACAAGAAGAAACCTCCAGCAGAACCAGGCTCAGGATGAGCACATCTGCTTTGACCGACTGGGTTTGAGAGGAACAGGAAGGAGAGACAAACACAGAGGTGTACTTAGAAATAAGGATAGAAATAATTATAAATACAAACAGGATGAGCAGAGTAAGTAAAGACAGCAGCAGAGTGAGGAAATGTGGTCAGTTTGTTCTCCA